TTATGAGTTAGAAAACATGCAGTAATGCCACGCACTAACCCGATAAGCACAAATTCACTATAAGAGGTTCAAAATGGAAAATTAATAAGGTTTCCAAAAGAAGTACGTGGAATTGCGTTTTGACACAAATAACAGCGTTGGGAAATTGGTTACTCCAACTAACAGCCCTTTTAAGAATTTCATTGATAGAAGTAATGTAATCAGTGGCAACAAACACTCTCAATTACTGATAAAGCACAAATAAACAACAAAAAAGGAAACCAGCAGGTATTAGCGGAGTCTGTGAAACTGCGTCCGAGCAGCCTCGACGCGATATTGCGGATGAACTTTTTGTGAACTTTCTTCCCGCCGGTAGGAGAGCATCCGCTTTCGAAACAACTGCCCTAGGGTGCGGTCAACCTGGTTGAGAGGTAATTTTTCAGTCCCTTATCTCTTACTGTACATTTATGAGCTCATTCCACTTCAATTTTTTGCTTGCTAGTTTGATGTCTAATGAAAAGGCAAGGGGAAAATGGGAAAAGGATAGAATGGTTGTAGAAATGTTATGAAGTCATTGACTTCGATAAAGCACTCCAAAAATCTGTACGATAATTGATGTCAAGATCAGAAGCTAGTAGGAAATGACTTCCCATTCCATTGACTAGTTTTACTATCACTACCAATCATCAGCTTATAGACAATTAAACTATCGAATTTCAGTGTGGCCTGCGTATTCGGGTAACTAACTCGTTGCACAGGAAACTATGTCGAAACGGCGTTTCAATCCATCGGAGGAGGAGAAGATTCCAATAGTAGAGAAATTGTATAGGTATGTTAACGTTTCTTGTTATTCGTGAGTCTTCAGATCACGGAAGTACTACTTTAGTACCTACGCGTCATTCAGGCAAATCAACCTCCTTCAATGCAGCTGGTGGTTTTATGGACGATGACGATGAGTATGAAGAACGACGCGAGAAAATAAGCCAGTCGAGACAGCAGAGTTTGTTTAACTTATAAGTGTATATAAGGGCACAAGCCGGCCGTTTCGCCGATCAGCTTACCATTCACAGTCAAAGCAAGGTTAATCGTATTACAGCGGAGCGGATGCAAGTTTGGCCAACAAGAATGCCCCGATACCGCATCAAGTGCAATTCGACCAGTTCGATCATGGTTGTGGGAACGATACAGCCATCCCGTGTGTGACGGCTGCAGGTGCTTCAGGAATTTTCTGTGATTTGATTTTTTTCAGTTCGAATTAAGTTTATACGCTTGCTCAGTCCTGCCTTTTCAGTTTCTCTATGCCCGATTGAAGGCACTGGGCACGATGTTTGGGGGCGGGGCATCACTTCCATCGTCATTGGTGGAAGGTGGTGGGGTTTGGCCGAACGCTCTCGACCTCTCTAGCCCTTCACAAAAGTTTGTGTACCCCCCCGCCATTGAATGCCCCGCAGCTCTTAAAGAATTTCAGGAGATTCGTTACCCTAAAACCATCTTTCTCTCCTCTTTGTCCTGTCTCTTACTCCATGTTGTTCACTTGGTTATTCCTGACGTTCCTATATCTCATGGTTCACTGAAACACTTCTCGATGCTTTTTGTTTCAGGGACGATTTGGGTGAACATAAATTGATTCCTCGAACTGAGGCGAAATCATTTTACTTGCTAAAGGACTGTGATCTGGATCTACGGAAACCAGTACTACGCTACTGGGCAAAAAAGAATCCTCATAATCCACGTTATGGTGACATGAAGCTGTATCTGAAATGTCAGGTAATACCATCTTGTCCTTGACTGAACAGCCCTTTCAGGACTTCTTCATCGTTCTGTAACCTTGATGGTACTGTCTTATAGTACTGATGATGGTAATTCAGGTAGTTGAGCGGATGCTTGAAATTTACGGTAGTTGGGAGGAATTCGAAGCGGAGAAGAAATTGCGCGCTACACAAAAAGAAACTAGAGCCGAGAAAAACTTTGAGAAGAAGGTCAAGGAAATGAGGCAGCATGTAAGTTACGCTGTTCGATATTGTATTTTGGCAAGTGTTTTGGAAATTAGCTTTGGATGATCCAAGCATTGTTCGTACTCGCGGTATACCCCGTCTGTAGATAAAGTATGAATCTTATACGCTTAAGTAACTAGTTCTATCCTCCTTTCTTCCTTTCTTCACTAGTTTCATCGACGTTGTTCGTGAGTTTCAATAGAGTTTTTTCATAAATTACTAGTTGTTTTACTTGGTTTGCTTCTTTGTTGCTTCGATATTTGCGAATATCTCTCGTTCTATTCAGATTCGTGGTCTTTCCGGTGTGAAAATCGAAGAAACTGCTGCCCATGACCATACCTATGGTGAGGAAGAGTATGATGAAGACAAGGATGAATATTCTAAGCAATGCACTCAATGTGATTATGTGCTGAGATACGAGAAAATGTAGTATCTCGTTCGTAAAAGTCTTAGTACCTCATTTGTAAAAGTTTTGAAAATCGTTTAACCGGTGAGATCTCTGTTTTACTTACATCAATACATCATTCTTGAGCCTCATTGTTTGAGTCAGCGCAGGCTAATGCCGTTTGGACTCCAGAAATTTCGGCTCATTTTTAAATTGCCTAAGTCACCAAATCCGCTAAAAACTTGTATATAGGGGTAATTAACATCCTGATTACGAATATGACACTCATTCTTGGCGCTGGCGCCAAGAG